AGGGCTTCCTAAGTGGTCTTCCTGCCGCCCAACCATCTTCACTGCTGCCACTTGTTTTCCTTAGGCACAGATCTAGTCATGATGCAGTCTTCTATTTAAAATCCCCCAATCACTCCCTATTCATCGTTCAAAATATTTTACCTAGAATTTTATACTGTTCACAAGCCGGTATGTCATCCTCCCTCCCTAGCCTCATCTCATACTACTCTTCCCCCTTCCCTCCATGTACTTCCTCTACATTTCAGCTCTACTGGACTACTGGCTGTGCCCCTTATATATACCCCATGCTTTTCTGGCTCTATTAGTCACTATGTGCTCAGCACTCTGCTAAATGCTAGGGATACAAAGAAAGGCCAGAAAAGGTCCTGCCCTCAAGGAGAATACATTATAATGGGGTAGAAAACATATAAGTAACTAGGTATACATAAAATATAAACAGAATAGATGAATTTGAAAGGGGAAAAAATTAGTAACTGGGAGAGGCAAGGAGAGGCTTCCTGCAGAAGGTGGGATTTGAGCTGAGTCTTGAAAGAAAACAGGGCAGTAAGAGATAGAAGTGAGGAGGTCAGAGCATTGCGGGCATGGGCAACAAACAGTGAAGAGACCTGAAGAATGGTGTTGAAGGAAAACGTTAGATGACAATGAATCCAAGGAAACCAATCCCTCACAACCACCTTACCTGCTGAATTCCTACCAATCACTAAGTCATAATAATGTACATAATTATGTAATATAATGCATGTAATGTATATTATTCTATATCATATTTATATGAGTATACATAAATATTGTCCCTCTTACTCTGTAAATTCTATGGGAAAGGAACTGTCATTTAAATGTCTTATTTTGGGAGTATACATCAAATTGTTGAATATATTCAATACCAGAATCAATATTTTAAAATATCAACATACGCTGGAAAAATAAGACCAAACAAAATAGATTGCTTTGAAATTTCAAATCCTATGTTTAGAAAAAAAAAAGCAACATAAATACAAAATTGGGAAGACATGGTTTGATAATTTATATAAAATGATCTAGAGATTTTAATTGAGCCAGAAGTTCAATATAAGACTATCACAGTATGATATGGCAACTAGAGTAATTTTAGTCTTTATTATTAATATAAAACAATTTATCCAAATTAATTAAGCCATGAAATACTTTCAGATTGGAACTATATTTATGAAACCTATAAATCCTGACCCTGGTGAATGTTATGCCTGAGAAAGAAAGGGATGGTATTGGTATATTTTGGCATAAAATAGATGAAGTAAGTCTGTTTTCATTCAAAAAAGTTATATTTATTTTGTTATAATATAGGACTTCATGTTTAATATGTTATAGTGGAATATATTTGGTACGCATGGAATAAATATAGAATGAAATTTTCTCATGAAACTCCTATGCACATCACAAGTAACAAAAGGATTATGTGTAACATGGCTTGGGATATACTCTAGCAGTCCAGGTCAAGGAAAGTAATAGTTCCCTGTATCCTGCATTAATCAGATGACATGTAAAATTTTGTGTTAACATCTGGGAACATTTTAAAAAGAGAAACTAACAAACTAAAGTGCAACCAATGGAGGATAAATAGGATGATGGAAGAAGTCTAGAAACCATGTCACATGAAGAATAGTCAAAGGATCCTGGATGGAAGAGACACAAGCAATAGGACATTTTCCTTAAGTTGTTTGAACTGGAAACTGCCTCACTTCAGTGTTTTAAATGACTGCTACTAGTTCTGCCTTTTGAGGTCAATCAGACCAAGACCAGTCCATTTTCTACAGGACAGCTATCATGTTCCCTTTGCCCCAAGTCTTCTCTTCTCTAAGATAGATATTCCTACTTCCTGGAAGATGGTCTCAAGGCTCTTCACCATCCTGGTAGCCCTCCTATACATAGTATGTCAACTTTTTTTTTTCCTTGGTGAAGGCAATTGGGGTTAAGTGACTTGCCCAGAGTCACACAGCTAGTGAGTGTTATGTGTCTGAGGCCGAATTTGAACTCAGGTCCTCCTGACTCCAGGGCTGGTGCTCTATCTACTGCGCCACCTAGCTGCCCCTCAACGTTCTTAAAACAGTGCCCAGAAATGACTATTAATATTCCTAAATGCAGTCTGACCAGGACGGAGTACAGAAGACTTTCTTTTCCTGGGCTCTGGATACTATGCCTCTCTTTATTAATATGGCCTAAAATTACATCAGTTTATTTGGCTGTGGTTAGTTAATTATCAATAATCCTAAAACACTGAGAAGTTTCCTAATGTCACATTGTTCCAGAGCTCTGTTCTCGTCACTAAGTCTTAGTAATACACAAATGAGGTCAAATTTGATTCCTTACATTAGGAGATGTAGTTCACCTTGTGATTATCCATATTTTATGCATTTCTGTAGACATATGATGCCATGGTTATTACTTTTGGCTCCTTTCTTGATTTTCTCTATTAGTGAGCATTTCTACTGTTGTTCTTTCTACATTCTAGCTGATACACCCTACAGTATCTAGTTTTAGAAACATAAATTAGTTTCTTCACTCTCAGAATTATGATTCTGCTAATGTTTTAAAGGAATATTAGAAATCAAATGAAACTGTTTTATAATGTGGCATGATAAAATTTATCATAAAATGTTATTATTCATTGGTAATTTAGATAACTGTCATACTAGGTTTAGACAGAGCCTTAGCCTATAATTATACTTCAATAATATATGCTTAAACTTATTCCCACAAACTAGTGGTAAAAATGTGACTCTGAATTGAAGATTCAGGAGGCAACTGTGTTTGGGTGAATGTGGTTTGAAATAGGAAATATATTCATAACAATTTGAAAGTAAAAGCCATGATTCAAAAAAAATGCATACGACCTTCTTTGCCCTTTATTGCAGAGGTGGGAGAAAATGAGCATGTAATATTATGTATACTGTCAGGAATGGTTGATGTGTAGATTAGTTTTGCTGAACTAATTTTGGAAGGGAACTACTCAGAAATGAATGAGAGACATCAAAAGAACAAAAGACATCAAAATAAAAGATGTAAAAAAACCAAAACATCATATTTGAACTTTTATTCTCACATTAAGTAAATTCTTCAACTTAGCAAAAAGTTATAAATACTTTCCCCCAAGTAAACAGCTTAAAAATGTAAAAAAAAACCCCAACAACAAACCATTGTGAAACAGTACATTTAATGATGTAAGAGAGTTTTTGCAGTGGAGAAATATTCAGATTAAATATTTTTAAAATTTTCTTTTTAATTTTTTGTTCAGATTAAATATTATAAGTTTTTTTTTCCTTGTAACTTGCTAAATGTCTCATAGGTAATCAGGATAAATTCTACCTCTGGTAGGTTTTAAATAAATGTTAGTCAATAATGTTGATAAATGGAAGCATACACTCCATCCTTCATTTTAGAAGTCTATTAAATTTTATGACCGCTTCTTGTAAGAGTGGTTATAATGATGCAGCACAGTCTTGACCTCAACAGTCATCAAGCAGAAAACTACTGTAACTGCCCCTCTTTTCCTTGTTTGTGCTATATATTTTGCAAGTTAGTGAGACTTTAGTTTCAAATAATATACAATCTTAATACTAGTTTGTGACAAACATAAAAAAAGAAAAGAGTATGTTCTTACCTTACTTATTTTAGCCAGCTGCAAACTCCAGCTGAATTTTGTGACCTGACACCACTATCGCAGCACATGGTGAATCAGGGTCACTTGGAACAGTAACTGGCAAAAGAAAGAAAAGACAAGTGTGGTCAAAGATGTGTGCTTTGATGCATGGGAGGAGAGGGAGCCAGGGAGACGTTATGCCTTGTGGTTTACTTCAAAGAACTATTACAGAAACTTTCAAAGGTCTGGAGCTCCACAGGTCAGGAATATAGACTTAAGAATTATCTTCATTGAGAGTGCAGTTGAAACAAACCATAGAAGCAAATGATATTGCCAAGAAGGAAGAGAGACTACTAAAAGAAAAGAGGATTAGGGACAGAACCTTAGGGAACATTCATCTTAAGAGACATATTAGAGAAAGGCAGGAGGAGAATCAAGAGAACAGAAGATCTTACAAGTCAAGGAAGGGGAAGAGTATCCAGAAAGAAAAGGTGATTGACAATGTCAAAGGCTACAGTCAAGGAGGTAAGAAGGCCTGATGTGGTAATTAGTAGATCACTGATAACCTCTGAAAGAGCAGTTTTAATAGAGGGGTAGAGATGGAGGCCATTTTTCAAGGCTGTCTATGAAAGGGCAGAGATGGTAGCTAGACTATAGAATGGTCAATGGAAGATATTTTTAGGAATAGGAAAACAGCTCATTTGTAAACATGTGAAAGAAGTAATGGAGAGTGAGAAGCTTAAGATGCATGAGAAAGACAGAAGGGTGATTTGCTGAGAGAAGCAATGTGGAGAAAGGATAAAATCTTAAGGTAAAGAGATTGGCTTCAGAAAGTAATAATATGCATTCCCTCTAAGACAGGAGAGAAGATATGATGGACAAGGATTCCTATTAAGTTTTAGATTGTGGAGGGGAGTCTGAGCAGTTTTCCATTTAGAATTGAGCCTGAATGGCCTGTAAGAGCCATCCCATAGAACATGTGCCCAGAGCCAGAACTCCCCTGGAAACTTCTGAGGACCCTAAGGACATGGTGACTCATTGTTAGGGCCATTTAAGGATGATGAACTTTTCCAGATGCTTCTGGCTATTCATGTTGCTTTTTAATATGACTTGGTAAATAAACCCTGAGTAGTCCCTTCACCATCTCCCTACCCCATGACAATGATAACAGGACTAGGTGCTGAAATTGTTGAAAAAAGAGTCAGCTGCTGACAATTAGCTGGCTTCCTCTCAGCTTCCACTCTCCAGATGCACACCTTGCCCTCTATGGGTGAAGGGATGTCACCCACATGGCAGCTAGTGCCAAGAGGCACAAAGAAGCAAGCTTACAGTTGGACCCCTGGTCACTTCCGTAACTTCTGTGTTTGTTCTTTCTTAATCTTAGACAAATGACTATCCTGAGGCAGACCTGTCCATCATTGCAGACAATGTTGTCTGAAAGGTCTGGAAGTTCCATCGGCAGTTGGAATTAAATGGTAGCAGAGGAGGAATCTGCAGTGATTACTCCAGCACACTTGGAGAGGACAGCCATTCACAAGAAGATGACCAACTCAAGTCTGGCTGCATCTTTTTGGACAGTGTCAAGCCAAGGTGAAATATAAAATGCCTGCTCAGGAGACCTGCAAACTGCTTTATGTTCAAATGAGGTTTAAGTACTAGCCTCATGACAGGTTTTTTTTTTTTTAACAATAGTTGAAAGTTATTCTACGTGAATCATGCGGATATTACATTGATCATGTTAATGTGTGCCATGATTCTTTCATGCTTAGCATTACTTTGTATGTAAAAATAAAGTACTTATCCCATATCTTCATATTGTGTACCAAGTACCTCTTAGATAACTCCCTTTTTTGTGAGACCTAAGTTGTAAGCTATTTTTCCTATGGGCTCCAGGGTGCGTAGCATGATGGGATGAAACACGTGAGAAACAAGCCTACTCCTCATTAGAGGCCAAGTCCCCCAGGTCTGACCTGGGTCCAAATTACATGTCCACACCCCAGATCAAGAGGAACAAATGCCCTCATCCCTATGGATCCAGCTAACAGCTCCTCAGGATTAGAGTGGATTGTCTCAATCTTCTCCATGAAATAAAAAATTAGATTATCTGCTCTAAGTTAGTGGGAGAGTGAATGGGGTAGAAATGGAAAAGGAGGAAGGTAAGATTGTGATGAGAATTTGAGAGGATAAAAAGTTTAAAATAGTCACTTTGGAGAATAAAATTGAATCAGTAAATGTTGGAGACAACAGCCCAACTGAGCTATAAATGACCATAAACCTGTGAGGTAGCTAGGTAGCTCAGTGGATAGAGCAGGGGGCCTACAGTCAGGAAGACCCAAGTTCAAATCCAGCCTCAGACACTAGCTGAGTGATCCTGGGCAATTTATTGAACCTCTGTTTGCCTTAATCCACTGGAGAAGGAAATGGCAAACCAGTAACTTTGCCAAGAAAACCCCATGGCTGGTATTGGTGTGCTATGGTCCACAGGACCAAGGAAGGGTAGGACATAACTAAACAACAAGCTTGTGAAATCAGCATGACTTCCTAACTTTGTTTTAGCTATCAGGAGCAGACACAGTTTGATGGTGGGGGTTATCCTGGATTGAAGATGAGAGGAAGAATAGAAGATTAGGGGCAAAAAGCTCTCTAAGAACATAAAGTAGCAGATTTGGGGGTCAGATTTCAGTGTAGAGGCATGTGAAATAAGAATGGGGGAAATGGGCTGGAAGAATAAGAACCTGGAGGTCACAATATGGGGAAAGACGCTTGTTTAATGTGTGAGTGAGAGGGTGGTAAATTATGGTATAAGGGTGGAATTATAAAGTTTAGGATTGGCCATAGCAGAAGAATGGTGGAATGGGAGGTTGCTAGAACTAAGGAGGTTGAAGAATCTTATCATTCAAGTACTATTCAAGGAAGCCAACATGATGATTAAAATCCCAAAGGTTAATGTCAGGAGGGTGTGAAAAGGGGGTAAAATCTAAGAAGACTGGAAAGGTAGGAAGGGTCTAGGTTGTTAAGGACTTTAAATGCCAAACATAGAATTTTATATCATATATATATATACATATATATATGTGTGTATATATATATATGTATATATATATATATAGTTATATTATAACTATATATATATATATGTGTATATATATATTTATATTATATATATATATATATATATATATATATATTTTATATTATAACTATCGACTTTATGGAGAAGGGTGACATGGTCAGACCTGCACTTTAGGAAGCTGAGCTGGAGGATCAGCTGCCGGCTGTGTGGGGAGAAACAAGGCAAGGAGACCAATCAGCAGGCTACTGTAGTAGTCCAAGCATGAGGTGATGAGGACCTATACCAGGGTGGCTGCTGAATGAACAGAGAGAAAGGGACTTATATGACAGCCAGGGACAGAGTAGAAAGTATGACCTGGCACGACACTGAATCTGTGGGGTGAGTTTCAGAGATGAGTTAAGGGTGACACCAAGGTTGAGGTTTCATATGAAAACAAGTGTCAACTCTTGTTACTTCTCTAAATAAAAGTTCTCCCAGATTATCTGAATAACTTTATTTAATAGGAGCACATGAGAAATGAATAATTTTGGTAACTGGTTATTTATTATAAGTAGGCAAATTAAGAATCAAGTAAAACTTAACATATGTAAAGAGTAAAGGACAAAGCATCTCATAAAATGTCAAGGCTGAATTGTGAGGATATGTACTTTAAAAGAATGAGATTTTGCCATGAAAATATACTGTTACTAGTTTTCTCCTTTTATTATTGTTACTAGATGTTATGAAATGCAATTTTGGAATCTCTGTTTTCCTTGATCGGTTATTTAAAGCATATGTGTTGCCACAGGAAGTATGCTCAAAATGTATGTAGTAATTATCCTCATACCAGTAGAAGCAAATATGCACAGCAAGAATACTTCTGTGATGAAGTTAAATTTCCACCAGCATGTAGTCATTTGATCATCCAGACCACCTCATGGACTATCTTATACACTGCTATACAGTGCTTGCCACAGTGTTTGGCACATAGAGAGAAGTTAATAAATGCTTGTTGCCTTGACTATACATTATACTTCCTTGTACATAAATAAAAGGTACTTAATAAATTTTTTTTAATCTTTCAAAATCCATTTCATATTAAACTATCAAAGACAGAAGATAGATGAGGTGAAGATAAATAGCATTATACAGAATAACCTGAAAAGATATTAGGTTTTACTTATTAAAAAAGTAAGGCTGTATTCTGTCTTAAGACACTAGCATTACCAGTATATGGTCTTTATTAAACAGACTTAATATGTCATTTCCATTTTGCTATTCTTCTGAAGTGCTTCTATGTATGTGCAATAGTCTTAATGGCATACAAAGGTAAGAATAGCATTCATCATAAAACTAATTTGAAACTTATTTTGCCAACCCTGCCATCACTTTAGATCCCTCAAAATGAGTTGGCTCGCTGACAGTTTTCTGTCATAGTAACACTGTCAGGATGCATGTCTAGAGTGTAGATAAATAGCATTTGTAAAATTGCACGGTATGGTTTGGTGACAATTATTCTCTCTTCAATTCCACAATGAAAACATTGTTTACCCAAGTTCCTATGGACTGGCTCAATGGTAGTTATTAAGTCAGAAAACTGGGAGCATTACTAGTTGAGGCCTGGCCTACAAGGTTTTTAAAAAATAATTTTTGATAGCTTTTATTTTTTATTTTCACATCATCTATGTTTTCCACTTCTTTGGGGTCAAACTTGGTCATCATAATTTCACAGAATTGTTGTTATTGTTTAGCTGCTCTGTGTGTGGGGGGTTTTTTTCTATTTATATTGTTGCAATCACTGTGTATACAGTTTTCCTGGTTCTGCTTACTTGGCATCAGTTCTTCTAAGTCTTTCCCTGCTTCTTTGTATTCATCATATTGTTTCTTGTAGCTCAATAATATTCCACTATATTCATATACTACAACTCGTTTATCCACACCTCAATGGACAGGCATCAACTTTTGTTTTGAGGTCTTTGTTATCATGAAAAGTACTGATAGAACCATTTTGGTGTAAGTATAACAGAGCCTTTCATTTTTGTCACTGATTTCCTTAGGAGGTGTGCACAAGGTATGGATATTATAGTTGCTTTCTTTGAATAGTTCCAAATTGCTTTCTAGAATGGTTACATTAATTCACAACTCTGCCAACAATACAATAACATTTAATATTTGGGTCATGTATCCATTTTGAATTAATTACGGAACATGTCTTAAGATGTTGGTCTAAACCAACCTGTTTGTTTAAATTGAATGGCATGATAAGACCTTTTGTTATATCCTTGCTGTATAGAAAATATCAAACATAAAAACATTTATTTTTAAAAAGCAATATACTTTTTTCTTTATATGCTCAGATACATGAATTACATCTAAATAATCTTTTGTTTTAAAAAATCTACATTCTAAATATTCCAATTCACAATATAGATTTTAATAATACATAGAAGGCTTCAGCATATTATATTAATTTGCAATCACTTTTTAAAATATACCCTTCTGCATTCCAGTCAAACCGCCCTGCTTGCTGTTCCCCATACACAACATTCACCGTCTCTCTCAATTCCTTATGTGTACAGCTGTTGTGTTCCAGGCCTGAAATGCATCTTCTCTTCACCTCTGCTTCTTAAAACCCCTACCTTAGAATGTGAGCTCCTTGAGGGCAAGAACCATGTTTTTGCTTTTCTTTGTGTAGCTGCCCTAGAGGCAATTAAGTAGGGCAATGGTTAGAGCATTGGGCCTGGTCCTGAAGATCAGAGTTCAAATCCAGCCTCAGACACTTAATAGTTATGTAACCTAGATAAGTCACTTAACCTCTGTCTGCCTCAGTTTCCTTAACTGTGAGATGGAAGAAATAACAGCATCTATCTTCAAGGGTTTTTGTGAAGATCAGGTAAGAATATTTGTAAAGTGCTTAGTATGATATGGATGCTTATTCCATCCAAGAAAGGAAATTTTTGGACCATTAATGAATGAAGGACGAAGTTTCTGCTTATTGGAATGAAAGTATTATGGACATTTTGCCACAACAGTTGAGATATGCAGGGTGAGAGTGGCAAGAACACTAGCTCTGGAGTCAGAGGGCCTGGATTCATATCTGGTCTATGACACTTCCAGTATGAACTTAGACCAATCCCTTCACCTCCTTAAGCCTCGGTTTCCTCATCTAAAATGATGAGGCCAATCAGGATGGTCTCTGATCCATGATCTTATGGAAATAACAGAGCTGGGGAAGCAGTGTGGCACAGTAGAATGCACTTGGTTCTGTAGCCTAAGAAACTCTGGTCAATTCCTGCCTCCAAGTATGACTCCTTGTGAGACCCTGGGCAAGGCCCTTGGTCTCCCTGAGTATCAGTTTTCCTTGTTAAATTAGAAGACTGAACAAGATAGCCCCTGAAGTCTCTCACAGCTCTAAATCGGTGGTCCTATTATCTCACTAGCACTAACAGTCAAACCTAAAAAGTCCTTGATGAAGGGCAGCTAGGTGGCGCAGTGGATAGAGCACCAGCCCTGGAGTCAGGAGGACCTGAGTTCAACTTCAGCCTCAGACACATAACAGTAGCTGTGTGACCCTAGGCAAGTCACTTAAGTCCTTGATGCTTCTGATGACAAGGAATGTTTGCTAATGCCAAGGCAGACAGACAGCCATGATAGAAGTGAAAGAGTCTTTCATATCAAAGGATTTAGTAGAGATGCCTTTGCAAATGACAACGTGCCTAAACAGTACCTGAACTGAGGATTTACAAGTCAACATTTTGCTTGAGATGTTTTTTTTTTGGGGGGGAGATTTTTTTAAAAAAATAATACATAGAAGGTATGAGAAACAGGATGGGAGAGGGGGAGGTTTTGAAAATTTTGCTAAAGGTCCCGAAATGAACTCTAGCTAGAACCATCCCTTGACTCTCAAAAGGGCTGTATAGTACAAAGGGAAGTGTTAGACTTGGCTCAAAAGACTTGGGTTCAAATTCTGGCTCTGTGTGACTTTGGGCAAATCATTTAACCACTGTAGGCCCAGCTGCCTAATATGGAAAATGAAGTGTTCAGACACCACTTTTCTTTATGAAGTCTCTTTATTTCTCCCAACTGCTAGGACTCTCTCTCTCTTTCTCTACATAAGTAACCTTATACTTAACATTTGGTGTATGTGTATTTATTGACTTTATATTAACTAAATGTTTATATTCATATTTATGTAGTACACATTTGCATATGTAGTTGTCTCTCCCATCAAAATGAAAGCTCATTTCAAACGCTGATCGTTTCATGCTTTGTACCTGTATCCTCAGTGCCTGGCTCACAGGAGGCGCTTAATACTTGCTAATTGACTGCTAAAAGGGGCAGGCTAGATGACTTTTAAGTTAAAAATTTATGATCCAATGACTAATGAAGTACTATTTTACACATTGGATAGTATACTTTTCCAGCTTTTAAATTCAACAGACATTTATATAACACTTTAAAGTTTGTAAAGTGTTTAACATATATTTTCATTCAAGGCAGGGAGAAAGATATCATCTCCATTTTATAGATGAGAAAACTGAGATTGCAGAGTAATCCTCCAGTAGTATCACCATAAAATATAAATAATCTCAAAAAGATTTGAATTCTATAGCAGCATTTTTTTTTTGAGTAGTAAAGTAGGCACTCCTCAAATGGCAAGTGGCTAAAGGTTGTGGTAAAGAAATACAATGACCTGGCAGCTAGGTGGCACAGTGGATAGAGCACTGGCCAGCCTCAGACCAAACACTTGACACTAGCTGTGTGACCCTGGGAAAGTCACTTAACCCCAATTACCTTAAAAAAAGAAAAAGAAAAAGAAACGCAATGGCATGTTATTTCACTGTAAGAAAAGATAGAAATGAAAAATACAGAGAAGCTTGGGGAGGCTTATCAACTTATTTAAGGTGAATTGGAACCAGAAATAGCAAAAAAAACCTGAACTATGTATGTATGATAGCTAGACTTGGCCTTTAAAAGGAGGCAAGAGCACATTTTCCTCCACTCTGCTGCACCAAGAGACACTGTACATACTGTCATCCCAGTTGATTCGCTGGTTCTTTTGGCTAAACTGCTTTTTTCACCCTTCTTACTATTTTAGGAGATAGGTCTGTGGGTATTGGGAAATGAAAGCTACATGAAGACAAAAGATATAATTTTTTAAAGAACATGAGTTCATGGTGATAACTGTGTAACATGTTATTAAAGGAAATGTGTTTGAAGCATGCTTAGAGATTGACAAGGGAGACAAACCATTCCATCACCCAAAACTATTTGTAGTGCCACATCAGCATACTGGACTCAATAGATTGCACGTAGATTTGACCTAGTATAAAAGTTTTATCTTTTTATGGTCCTTCCTTTACTTAGGTCTTAATTCTGCAGGAGCATGGTCTAAGTATATGCTGGTAAATGTTTATAACAACTGGCTCCCCCAGGAAGAATATACTTAAGTCTAGTCTGCAATATTAATAATTACTCTATCACTTTCTTAGGTCTAGAAAATCAACAAAACAAGAAATCAAGCCCTGATCTGCTAATAGTGTGTCAGTTTCTGAGGTCTACAAGTACTCACAGTGGAAACATAACAATTCAGGTTCAAGCTACCTTTAGCACCTATCTGTAAGGATGAATGTGGGGATGATCTCCCAGCAGAGGAGAGGGATACCAAGATCACAGTAAATGCTACAAGTGTAGCGCTGATCACTTACAAATGAGCCTCATGTAACAAGGTAAGCCCCTCGTTCAGGCTGTGGTAACAACAACTATCAGCTATGAGAGGGAGTACCTAAAAACCAGAATTTCAGCTAGTTTTGAAAGTACATTAAGAATCTTGGCATATACCCAATTAGGGACTCTTTTCTTGTTTCATAAAGTAAGGTTCATTATTTGCAGACTTTTTGATGAAATAATTTTTTTTATCAAGCTACTTTTGTCTCACTTTTAATTTAGACTCTGTATTTCTTTATCTAGGTAGATTAAAAAAATCAATTTCCCCATCCAGAAAAGCATTTCCCTTTTCTTTTCCAAGAACATCCCCAAGTCCCATTTCCTAAAGGAAAACTTTCCAAGTCAAGAAATTTGGCTGAGGACGCTTCTCTATACCAGCTTTTATTTCCTTGTATTTCAGCTAGGTGGCGCTGCAAAGCACTGGGCCTCGAGTCAGGAAAACCTGAATTCAAATTAAGCTTGACACTAGCTGCATGACCCAGGGCAAGTCATTTAACATGTTGCCTCAGTTTCTTCAACTGTAAAAGTGGGGATAAAACCACCATCTACCTCACAGGGTTGTTGTGAGGACCAAGTGAGATATTTATAAAGTGCTTACTTAGTACAGTGACTGACACCTAGTAGGACCTTAGTCTGCCCTCTCCTCCTCTTTCCCCCTCCCGCCTTTCCTTCCCATAAAAGGGATGAGGAAATAAAATAACAGCCATCGAGTAAAAAAAAAAATTCACCCACAGTTACTAAGTACCTGCAACTTTCACTGTGTTTCTGAAAACTTAAAATATTTGTGGTACCTGTTGTGCCACTTTAAAAAAGGATAGCTCCTGGAAGTGATTGGTTTATTCCTTAAGACACCTATTTAGCTCTATAAATCCTCAAAGAATTTCTTGCCATATCTTTTTGTTAAGAATTACGATGTTTTCATTGTGTTTCAAGTACCCTATAGGAATTAAACACAGTCACTTTTGTACCTAAGCACCACATGGTAACGTTTAAGAAATATATTTTACAAATTCTGTAATTAGCCTCTGACCTCAGATCTGGATTTCATTGTCTCCCACCTGACAAATTTGGTGCAACCAGGCGGTAAATAACATTGTTCCTGTTATTTCAGAACCTCCTTAAGAGGACTGCTGGGGCTTTCCCTGATTATATCGCTCGCAAGGTAGCACAAGCACACCAAAGGGGACGCGCCGTGAGCGCTTTGCAGCATCCCCCCAAATTCACCTATCTATAGTAACGTCTCGAAAAGTTTAGCAGTTCTATAGTAACTTGCGTTTATGTAAAAGACAGGTTCTGCGCCATACCCCTGCAGCCAAACATTTGCTTTTCTAGAATTTAAATCGTTCAATTCTTGCTTAAGGGAGTTATTTCGCATCGAGCGGACGGATTTGGGTGCAGTCTTTCTTGCCCACAACGAACCGACCTACAAATAGCTACCGCTGCGCTGAGTCACCCCAAGCCTTGAGCTTCCCCCGAGAAGAGGGACAGCGCGCCCCTCCCCCGCGGCCCTCGACAAGCCGGTGCAACACCTCCAGGAGGCCCGGCCCCAGTGGGGAACCTCGCCCTCGAGGGACGCGGCGGTGGGGGGGGGTGGCTCCTCCGAGCCCGCCCCCGCACCCAGCTGCTCCGGAAACAGCGCCGAGCGGCGGCGGAACGCGAGGCTGTCGGGACTAGGCCGCCCGAGTGCGGTGGGGGCGGGATGGACGCGGAGCCGCAGGGGGCCGGCTCCGGCCTCCGCCCCCCCCCGTCCCGAACGGCCGCTCACACAATGGGGAGGCGGGAACGCGAGCGGGGCGGCCCCGCAGGGGAGAGGGTTAGAAAAAAATGCCCTGGCTCCAGGCCAAGCGGGGACACGAAGCTAGGAATGGAGGCTGGAGGGGAGGTGGTGGTGGTGGTAGTCGTTACAGTGGTGTCCGACTTTCGGTGACCCCATTTTGGGGTGTTCTTGGCAAAGATACTGGAGTGGTGTGCCATTATCTTCTCCTGGGGCAAAGGTGTAGAGAGAAATACCCTCGTCTCGAAAGACCTAGCAAATCAACGGCAGCCGCTGGGGGCTAGCGCAGTAATGTAGCGGAGGAGATGGGGAAGGGGGACGGAAGTGCCGCCTCCCGTTGTTAGGGGCCATTACGTCATCCTACCGTTGTCAGCCTGTGGCGGGGGCGTCTGCCCATCACGTGTCCTCAACTCTTTCCCTCCCATTACCCCCACACCCCATTGCGCGCGCGCTCGTGGGCTCCCCCACCCCCACCTCTGTCTCCCACCTCCGCCCTCCCCTCGCTCGCCCGGCTGTCAACAGCGCCCGCCCCGCCTCCGTCCCCCCGCCTCCTCCCTTCCTTCCCCCCCACTCCGAAGCAACTGCCACAGCTGCGCGTCCGGGCGCTCGGAGGCCAGGTCCCCCGCCCCCTCCGCCCCCCAACGGCGGGCGCTCGGGGTGAGGAGGCTCCGGAGCTCGGGCGTGTGCGGCTGGGCGGCTGTACTGCCTCTCGCCGCTCCAATCTCCTCGGGGTGCCGGAGAGCTCCAGTGCGGGCTCGGAGCTGGGCAGAGGCGGCCCGACACCGTCTGCTGCCCTCCGAGCCGGGCCCGCGGGGCGGGGCGGGGCTGGGCTGGGCTTCCCGGCGCGCCGACCTTCCAGCCGTGCGGCTCCCGCGCCCCAGCCCCAGCACGGCTCGAGCTGCCCTCGTTCCTCCCCGCCGCCCCGGGCTCGCGGCGCGCGTAGATGGAGGCGGTTTTCCCGTCGTCTTTGCCCCGCTGCCCTCCCTTCCCCTGAGGCTGGGCGCACAGGACACCGGAGCGGGCGGCACCTACTGACCTGTCAGCCGAGGAAGATCGCGGGCGGGCAGGCGGGCGGGCGGGCGGGCGAGGGAGGCAGCGGCAGAGCCCCTGGCCCCGGGACTCGAGCTGCCGCGCATACAAAGCGAGGAGGCGGTAGCGCCTGCAGCCAGGTGTCCCCCGCGGCCCGGGTCGGGCCCGCGCCCGGCTCTCCCCTCCCCACCGCCCCGCTGGAGGGAACCCCCCGACGGTATTTTTTTGTGCAGTTTCAGCAAAGCTCCGAGGAAGTTGGTCCTTTTGTTCCACTATTTATAGATTGCGTCAACATTGCGAAAAGGAGAAGGCGGAGCAGTGGCCCCTCCCCCCCTCCTCTCCCCTTCTCCGCTCCTAGGAGAGAAAAGCCCCAGCACACGACCTAAGTACACAACAGGACAGCCCCCCACCCCTCCTCTTCCCCCTCGCCTCCTCCTCCTCCTCCTCCTCCCACTCTGCAGCCCCGGGAGCAATCCGGCCAAGCTCCGTCACGTGCCTGCCAGGGAAAACCAGCTTGCCAGAGCCCAAGTGCTCCCGCGCCGCCTGCCATCAGCGGTAGCAGTCGCAAAGAGAAACTGCCTCCCACCCCTGCCTTCCCCTGAACCCTCTCCCTGCACTACTCCCTTAGTACCCGAATGTCCCCGCTACTGCTCGATTCCAGAGCGTCTTAGCAAACGGGATCGGTTCCCCGTTGGGTTCGCACCTTGCTTACGTGTATTTGTGCGTTCCCATGTGTCCTTGTTTCTACACCTCCAGAGAAACAGTCTACACCCCAGGGTGTATTCATGTTCGTGCATTTATATATGACCTAAGCCGGTGTATTGCATGTGTATATATTTGTGTTTCAAACCTTTCTAGTTCTCTCTCGTACTCTTGGCCGAATGTCTACGTAGAAAGAGAAAAAAAAAAGACCCTGGCTGCGCCTGGGTCATGATAACGACACGCCTGCACATTATCGGGAGATGGTAATCACACATAAGGCAACAGGCTCAGGCGTTAAAAAGGGGCTCAGAAAAGATTTGTCTTCACAGGTTCTGTGACAACTTGCCACAGTTTACTTCCACCTACTGGGTGCCACTCTTTAGGGGCAATTCCTTGATTGAAATTCCTGTTGCTGGAAGGTGTTTGAAACCGGCAGGTGAAAGCGTTAGTTTTTGAAGAGTTAATGGCAATAGGCTTGTAAGAAAAATATGTGTCCCTTCTATTTATACCTGGTCACGAAATTATAGACTTCACCATGCCCCAAAATGAAACTGAGCACTTCTTTGGCTTATAGCCAAAGTCTGAACAGTGTAAATAAGGAATACTACAAACACAAGAGGCGGCCTTTCAATGGAACTAAGTAAAATTAACTTTTTCCAAGGGTTATTTACAATCTCAGCTTCCAGCCGCTCCCCTACTCATTTACTTGTTTTTATATCATATTTTAACTTTGTTAGAGTTGTGCTACGATAATTTCACAAGCCAGGTCCTGAAAGAAAGCAAGCAAGGATGAGCTGGACACGTGAAGAAGGTCAGGAAACACATAGGACCTCTTTTTTCCTCTTTGGGCAGCTGGGCAGCATGGTAAACAACTTGCTGGAAAGGTTGTGGGATTTTTTTTTTAAAGGTCGTTTTTGGAAGGTACCAATCTCTCCTTGCCCTAGTGTAGAGGGGACCAATGGGGCTTTGGCCAGAACATCCCCTCGAGAGGAAAGAGCACCGTGCTCACTATGTCGGAGAGGGTTGCAGGTTGTAAAAGCGATACAAGGCAAGCTGGGGGACTGGACTTGTCTGAACCTGTAGTGTGATCTTCAAGTTTCAGACTCAGGTCACCAAGAAGTTGCTATTGGGTTTTGTTACTTGTGTTAGATATTTGTGTAACTTTCCTAGCTGTGAATTTAAAAAAAAGGGGGGGGAACCTTAAACATTAGTTCAATCAACTTACTGAGTTTCTTTTTTATATCGAGATATGTTATTTAAAAAAAAGGGAGATTATGAGGTGGGGTACTTTACACTCGAATACTTTACAATGAGATTTCAAATTCAGGCTCAGTGGAACCTGTTGCAAATAAGTCAGAATTTTGAGCAGATTTTAATCCTAACTGTTGGTTTCGTGATTTTCCCCCTGCTGCAGAAGACTGATTTTTCTTAGTGGATGTTTACCACCTTTCTATCCTGGTTTCTAAGTAATTAGCAAATAGGCCTCTGTTGGACCTTTCTACTATCACTTTCTCCCTTATCCCATTCCTTTTATTTTACAGTTCGCCCTTAGGCTGGATTGAGGACACATTTTCGTTGCCTTGTGGTCGCATTTACATTTCACAAAACATTTTTTCTTACATTAAAAAAAGTGGAGTTTTATTTTTCTTTGTCACAAAAGAAACAATGGCTTTATGACACACCCTCCAGGGTCAGTCAGTCTTTACAATCAGCTCTAGCGATTTAGATCAACTCCGCCAACCTCACTCTTCCTGGCTCCCTCCCCACATTTTCCTCTCCTAATGCCCCTCGTCTCCCCTCCCCCTCCTCAGCACCAGAGTTACTTTATTGCAGCCAAAGAACACTTTTCTTCGCTCTCCATTTACCCCCCCAACCACAGACTTTTCCGCGGCTTTCCAAACTGCTTAGCGAAAGGAGCGAAAGGAAAACGAAAGCACCCAGCTCCCAGAGCCCCGAGCAGACCAGGACCAGCGGCTTTTCCCGAGATCTCGCCAAGACTAGTGGGAAGTAGGGTAGCGGATGGGTGACGGAGGGGGGCTGGGGAAAGGGGTTGGGGAGGCGCCGGTAGCTTGCCCGCCTTCTTCTCCTCCAGGGGAAAACCAAACAAATGCCTTATCCTAGCAAGAGTCTGGAGTAGGTACGCTTGAAAAACTTTGGCCTCTAGCTAGTGTAAAAATAAAGTTAACTGTCATTAGGGACGTGCCGTGGGGTAGAGATGGCAGTTGCGAAGTAGGAGGAGGGAAAATATTCCCGACGTCTTTCTAAAAACAGATTTGCCTAAGCTAGCCAACTGCCCAGAGAACGTGGCAGACTAGCAGCGAGATGCTGATATGGGCACAGGAAGAAGGGGCAAGCTCAAGCAGCAGTGCGGAAAACAGTAGGCAGAGCTGCAATAGACCTCGGCTAACCACAGGGCAACCGGCAGTTCAACTGGGATTAATATCGAGCAAAAAGCTTTGGTCGTTCAGAGTTGTTGCAACATGGGAGTTGGATAAAACCCAGCAGAAAACCTCTCAATTATTATTATCACTTCATGAAACTGGTGGGGAACTCATTCCTTTCACTTGATTCAGCCACTGAGTTAGGGACAGATGAGCCCAGGATAGGTTTGTATTAAGTACAATTCCTGTGGGTAAGGCCCTCTGGGCAGTGGAGGATTTCCTGGGTGGAGCTGTTTCCAGAGTTATGTATATGAAAACCCTTAGAGAGATGGCGTCTAGTCCAAGGCTCACCACTTAAAAAGGAGATTTTTCTCACTAACAAATTTGCCTTCAGGTTGTTTACTTTTTCAGTGCGGTACATTAGTGCGAAAACCTGACCAGATACGATCCCAACAAAAATCTAATGGGTTACCCTGATAGCAAGGACTCTGTATGAGAGTTTGCAGCACGGGCAGGTACAGCTTTTATCAATTGTTTAAAAATCTATATATCTAAATGGCTCAGCAAAATGTTAGCAACAATGTCACGTAACAAGTGCTTCATTGTCAGATGGTCAGCTGAATTGAGTAGATCAGGTGTTATTCCGCACGTAGCAGCAGAAAAATCCTTAGGCAGACACCTCTTCTATTCCTCTTTAAAAATTGATGGGTTTATTTTTCCAAGAAAACTTGCGCAGCTAAGTTTGTTTACTTTTTGTTTATCTAGAATCTGAATTGAGGATTAAGAACCCTCAATACTCCAAAAAAAAAAGAGCCCTATTTTTAATGATGCTGGATGAAGTTTTGAAAGTTGGAGCTATTTCAGCTGAGCTCCCTGGAATAGAATAATGTCAAGGAGGTGTTTGGCTAAAAATGACCAACATTCTGGATTTGAAAAAAAAAATCTCCCTAGCCATACCTGTAAGTACACCAGAGTCTAAAAACGTAAGACTGACAGTCCCATTCTCTTTTTTTTTTTTCAAGGACAGAAGAAAAATCTTGAGAAATGGTACCCCGAGTTCCACCTTATAAGAAGAAATGCTTTGGATTTCTTTAAAAATAATTTATTGAAAACTTTCTTGGCCCAGTTATTGAGACAAAAATGCCATATTTCAGAGAACACCAGCTCTTTGAGTTTTCCTGTGATTTACTTGTGGCCAATGATCTGTTGTTTCCCTAGACTTCTTTTGCCTATTGCAGTCCCTTTTAACTTCTCTTGGGAAAATACACATATAATAAAATTTGATTGCAAACTGAGGCGTCGAGAATTCTACTGCCTCGTTAAGATCTGGGATATTTCTTGCTGTTTTTAATCCTTAAAATGTAGAAATAACAAAAGTATTTTTAAAACCTGAAGTTGTTTTCACTCTATAGTTCCACTGTTTTCTATCTCTGGCGTTTTAAAAACTGTTGTGTTTGGAGAGAAATAGCTATAATTTAGACTCCTTTCTTTTAAAAGTAATCTGCTAAAGCTGCTATTCCCTAGAGTCATCGAAAGCCTTGGCCTTGCTCACATCACCTGAATCCGAACCAAAGACCTCGATTTGGATTTCGCATCGGAAACAAATCTATTTCTCGCGGGGAAATGGGGACTTACCCTAGCGATGGGTCTGGCTTTAGGTTTTATGGGGAATATGATCTGGAAATGGGAACGCCTGCTTTTGCAACGGCAACACACCCCGCGTCTGTTCTCTTGGGCTCTTTCTAGCTTCCAAAGAGCTTGTCAATTTGCTACCCCTTTGGGACTAGTCTCTGAGGTCAGAACCTTTGTGGATTTAGGAAGACGCTAACCCCAAACCCAGGTTATCCTACTCCCTCCCTTCACCTCCCCCCTCACCGCCTCCTCTCTTCCGGTCTGCCTCTTGACCTCCACAACAAAGTTTTTACACTGAAGGAGAAAGTTTGCTTGGGGATAAAGATAAGTTCTTCAACAACAAGGGAGGAGTGGGGCGTTTTCTTTTTCTTAATTAAAGAAAATCTTGCACACCCGAGGCTTTTAGTAAGGCAAAGTAACTCGTCCTGCAATTAGACGAGTTTCTGAGATTTTCCCTAGCCCGTCCCCTTCCCCCCCCCTTCTAAAGAGTCCTGAGATAGTCTACTGGACCCCTAACCTCCTCTGCCCCTCCGTTATTTCATCATTCCCTTTAGCCTCCAGGGATCCGGGCTGCTTGCGAAATGAATTCTCCCCCGTCTTTCCCCTAAGCATCGGAGATGCCTAAAGGGTTAAAAGAATTCTGGAGAAACAAAAATACCCGGTAAAGTGAAGGTAGCGGTTTGGGAGCAGCACAGTGTAGGGTAAAGAGGCTGATGTCAGAAAACCTTGAGTTCCAGTCTTCCCTCTCAAGTTTACTTGTCTGTGTGACTTTAGACAAGTCATTTAGCCTCTCTAGGCCTCAGTTTCCTGATTTGTAAAAGGACTAGATAGCCTCTAAAGTTCTTTCTACCACTATTTCTATGATCCTCTGTCACAAATTTACCTGCTTTGACCAAACTGGCTGGAGAAACCAGATTAGCGTAACGGGATTTGTGAGAGTAGAAAGGGAAAATATAAAATGAGAGAAAACAAACACCTGCAATGGAAGGGGATGGTCTTACGAGAGAAGATGGGAGGAGTGGGGATGCCTTGAGGGAAAACAGCAGTAGTTAATTGCACTGCTCAGTTCTAGAGGACAGGATTATGCCAGTTTTTCTCTCTCTAGCTAGAGCCGGGGTCCAGCCTTGCGAACCAACTATGAATATCCGTTTTTCTCTCCAAGGAGCCAGAGACAAGCCCCAGAGGACGAGGTCTGGTGCCTCCAAAGTTCTTAAAGCTGTTGAGGAGATTAAACATGATTTTCAAGTGACCTTTGTGTTTTGTTTTGTTCCTGAAAAGTTTTGGGAAAGAAAATTTCACTACAAAATAAAATACGCCCACCCCCTCACAGCACCTTGAAGGATAATAAAATAACTTTACCTTACTAATGGGAAATGCATCAAGATACTGGAAGCCTTTAGTCATTTAGTTATTAGAGTCCTTTTTCCTTTCCCACCCCTTTCTTAGTGAGATTTGACACTTGAGTAAGTCCGGACCGTCTTTGCGGGGAACAGTGCTCACAGCAGCTTGAGGTCTGAGCGTTTGGAGAAATACCACAGAGAGCCTTGAAGTTAAGAGAATCAGAAATATGCGGTGATAAACAACTAATGTGTCTGCTCTCGCTATTCTTAGCAGCTACCATTCACACCTTACTCTTCATTATTTGCGAACTACGAAAATTCCTTCTAATTAGCTCGTGTCTGAGAAGCCCTCCTTTATATCCTGAAGAACCGGAGCTGCACCAACTAACTCTTAACATCACCAATACCCTGCGCAGCACTGACTGTACCAGGTTTGCGCCCCATTTTCGTTCTTTCTGGCAACACGTTTGAACAAATAACTAAATCAGTTACTCTATAGGCAGTCTGAAAGACACCACCAGAAATATGCACGCCTTTAGGTTTCATCCCAGACAAGTATTTTCCATGCAACAGAATAATGCCTTTTCCATGCAAAAGTATGATGACCAAAATGTTAATGACTTTTCTTCCTGAGAATCAAGTCCCTTCCCTTCTCTCCTTCTTCTTTCCCCCCTTTTAACTGCCGTGAAGTTTTCCTTGGTTTCCCCCTCTCATCTTCAGTTTCAGCTGCTCCACTCTATTATAATACAATTGTATTTTACAGCTAGTACAATATCAATGTTGTAAAAGTCAGTGTGTACCACATAGTTCGCACGTCCTTTACAAAATGAGTAATGTTTTCGATATCCACCCACAACTACGGAATGGGCTTTTGCTTTTACATCTTATTATCACACCCGGAGGGCAGTAACTGTCCCATGCTCTTAATGGAAATAAAAATAATTACTAGTACCTTTATTCCCTCCCTTACTCCCCTCCCCCACCCCCTCAGTACTTCCAGGATTTCTTTTATATTCCTAAAGAATTGGGGATATTCTCATCTGTGCCGAGCTTCTTTGGATGTTTCAGACAAGGAGCTAACACCTTGATTGAACAGTTTGCTTTAAAAATGGCATTAACAAGAAATCTCATTGACAGAGCACATTTCTCTTTTCCTTATAGTGTCGACAGTGTAACTTCGATGGGGGAAGTAACACACTTAGCAACGAAATTCTTGAGAAAAAGTATTCAATAGCAAAGACACCCGATTTTGAGGGTGTAAATGAAGGAGAATTAGCCTTGAGAAAGACATTTTATTATCCCAAACTTAAATAAGTGACATAGACTTACAAGTGTTTTTAAGACAATTGTGTTCAAATTTCTCTTGCCGTTCATATACAGACTTTACTCACAAAAAAAATCCGAATTTCTCTCTCCTATAACTTTTGTGGTTTTTGCCTTACTAAATATCCACAAAGAATGAAAATCATCTATGACAGTTATACATAAACTCGAAACTGACCAAAATAAGTCAAACTCTTGTAATGTAAGCTACCTGTCATTATTTGCTTCCATTTTTACAAGTTGCTTAGAGTAAAAACGAAATTTGTGGGTTCTTGACTCCCAAATTTCATTTCTGACAGAGCCGCCTTTCCGTTGAGAAGCTTACGGTACATGTGCTCATTTATTTACCTTTAAAGCACACCTCAGTCTCGACGGCATCGTTACCGGGGCTGGTGCCTTTTGCGTGGAATGTTTCGGTTTTTAGAAAGAAAATAGGTGGGAGGAGGAGATTGTAGCGCTTATGGTTTGAGGAAATTCACCCTGGCTCCTTCCCTCCCCCTTTCTAACTTCTGCTTGAGGTGAGAGCAAAGCAAAGGGCTGCTTGGAGAATCACTACGGATCACCTAGTCCAAAAAATATTTTCTTTGGGGCCCATTCTCGGGGAATAAACAGACACTTCTGAGTTGAGTTTCCTCAGCAACATGTTAGCCTGGCTCTAGAAAAGGAGAAATAAAACAAAACGAAGAGGACTTTCTAGGACCATCGCCTCCAGTTACATCTTTTCCGAGCTCCAAGAAAAAAAGAAAGAAAGAAAGAAAGAAAGAAAGAAAGAAAGAAAGAAAGAAAGAAAGAAAGAAAGAAAGAAAGAAAGAAAGGAAGGAAGGAAGGAAGGAAGGAAGGAAGGAAGGAAGGAAGGAAGGAAGGAAGGAAGAAAGAAAGAAAGAAAGAAAGAAAGAAAGAAAGAAGAAAGAAAGAAAGAAAGAAAGAAAGAAAGAAAGAAAGAAAGAAAGAAATGCATCGCGTTTCACATTTACCTTTTTCACAACATACATGACCACACAGGGGGGTAAGTCTCAAGTTTGTTTCCCTCCTGACTTTTAACCAAGAGCGCTCTGGATAAGATTTGGAAAGCAGTTGTGCACCATTTTTTACACGCGAGCGCATGAATGGCTTACCTTTTCGAAGGCATATCAGGCTGCTGTGGACAGCCGCCTCTCCAACAACCCGGGATTTTCTTCCCACTTCCAGAGTTGCCACACTTTCCCCAAACAATTTTAGTTGGTAAGCGAGATAAAGCGCTTTTCTTGGTCTCCTTGAAGCGGGGAGGGAAGGGAAAGGAGGTTCCAATAAATTCAGCATCTCCAAACTCAGGTCTGAGTGGTGGACAGGCGCTCACGTTCGCCCTAACATTGGTTCCTCTTTCCTCAAATCCGCCAACCCCTCTAAATCCTTCTTCACCCTAAGGATTTGCTACAGGATTGTTGTTTTAACCTCCTTAGCTAAACAGGAAAACACTCCATTACTCTTACCCAGTAAAACACTTATTATCTAATGATTGCCTTCACTTTGTTGTGGTGGTAAACAAAAAGTTGTCACTTTTTTTTTGCAAGTTCTGAGCAATCAGACATAGCAGTGAAATTCCTTGTCTCTTTATCCGAATAAACTCGAGGGCTCACATATCTGGTTTGTTAAATTTGTTACTGGTCCAGGGAGGTGAAAGTGGTTAGGCTGAAGAAGAGAGGGTCACTAAGGGCCCTTGCCTAACTGAGCTGCCAAACTGTTTTAGCAACTCATTACAGTTTCCATCACCTGCTCCTGGTCTGGCAGCAATAGAAAAGTGTTTAGGTTAGGAAATTAGCGGGAAAAGTGACAGGACAACACTATCAAGCAGGAAAATCCCACAAATATCTGGTGTCTGACCCTTAAGCAACAGTTGGATTAGTGAGAGTCCAGGACTGGTTTGGCCCACTGGGCCAGAGGGAGGACATTGGAGGCCAAAGGGAAAGGATGGTCCCTGTGTTAGGAAGCTTCTCTGACCTTGGCAGATCTCAGTAAGTCCAGTGAACAGTGAAGGAGGCCCTTTCTTATATCTTGCAAGGTCTCAGCCTTAAGAGACCAGACAAAAGCTGGAGAGAGGGAGTTACATCAGAATATAAACAGGGAGAGTATACATAGAGAGAAACTAGTGACTT